AAAAAAGAAACATCTTTGTCCTAATAAGTTTTTCTCAGATTGACTGTTCAGCACATACGAACACTGACGGATCGATGTTAATCTTAGGAATTAAAAAAAAATGAATAAATTTCCTTTAATATATTTTTGTAAAAGAAGCATTATGATTGGGGTTTTTTTTTCTACAATTAAGCGCTGTTTCAGTTGTGGAGCGTTATAACGTGATGGTCAATCCTAGTAATTAGCGTGCTCGGACTGTGAATTCGAGAGTTCGCATCCTGTTGCTGCAAAGACGCACTCCGCACTTTTGGACTTTGGATATGCTATAAGAGTGACGGTAAATTCCCACTATTCGATCATTTAAAAGTAACCTAATGTTTGGCTATAGACACTGTTGTCTAACTGCCTTCCCTATAGTCTATTTGTTCAAAGTTAGGAGCCCCCCAGTGGCACAGTGGCATGTATGCGGACTTACAACGCTAGAAACCGGGTTTCAATACCCGTGGTAGGCAGAACACAGATATCCCTTTGTGTAGCTTTATGCTTAACTACAAACAAAACAAAGTTAGGAATAATATTTAAAAACCAAGTTGTATGGTACAGTGCCATTGATTGTATTGTTATTAATTGTTCGTTTAGATATTTTGTGCAAAGCTACTCAAGGGTTGTCTGCAAATAGCCGTCTCTGAATTTCAACTGATAGGCTAGAGAGAATACAGTACCTGCCGCCAACTCTTGGTACACTCTTATTTGACCGAACACTGGGACTTAACCCCACTTTTGTAGCGCACCCATGGATTTAAAGTGCGGAGCTCGTTTTTGTGACAACAGGTGGCGAACCAAGAATCCTCGGATTCGCAGTTACGTTACGCTAATCACTAGGCCACACCTAGTGAGTATATATATATATAGCTTTGTATTATGAAAGTACTTGTAATTTATTACTTATTTATATATTTATTATCAGTTCCAGAAATAAATGGAAAACAAGACGGAAGATGCTGACACCTGCTTTCCACTTCCGAATCCTGGATGATTTTATGCCTATATTTAACGAACAGAGTCAAATTTTGGTGAACAAGTTAAAACAAGCTCAAGACTGCAAATGGCTGGATATATCAAACTTTGTTACCCTCTGTACATTGGATGCTATTTGCGGTGAGTATATACTACTACTAAAATAACATTTCATCCCTGAGCTCTTACCTAATAAGGCACTTTTCAGCACCATTGAGCCAAATGTTTAAACATAACAATATAGTTACTTTTTTTTTTACAGTTACTTGATGTAATGCAAGTGACCTTTTAGATCATTGTATTTGAAAAATGGGAGACAAATTATAAAGAAAACAAATTAGGGATCTACTTCCTTTATGTGGTTAGGTCACTCGATTCGCAATCTGCAGGTCGCGGGTTCGAATCCCCGTCACCGAACATGCTCGCTCTTTCAGTTGTGGGCGTTATAGCGTGATGGTCAATCCTACCATTCTTTGGCAAAAAGAGTAGCCCAAGAGTTGGCGGTGGGTGGTGATGACTAACTGCCTTCTCTCTAGTCTATCACCACTAAATTTAGAACGGCTAGCGTAGATAGCCTTAGAGTAGCTTTGCGCGAAATTCGAAACAAATCAAACAAAATCTTCTTTATTTAAATAT